AGGTGGTAGGCCACGATTCGGTTCTCAGGCGTGCCTCAAGCGCTCATGCGAGCCCGGGCCGGCCCTAGCTGCCCGGTTCGGCATAATTAGCTCATAGCCCCCGCCTGCCCAATACCTAGATCGGGTTAAGCCTCAGGAAATATGTATATAGAGACCTGCGATGTAACACCATCCAAATAGAAAAAGCAATGCTAGTGCTGATTTTGACGTGGAATGATCTGTGTCGTCTCATAGTGTATGTAAGTATAGTGGATATACTCTTGGCTATCATGTATCCGATCATCCGGACGTGATAATCGCTAGAATGGTAGTGTCCCCATCTATCCATCAGGAGTTTGGCGTGCGCACAACTATGCTGCATCGGCCCGACTCTGAAATATTTGACACGGCGATCTGGATCACTACAAGCAGTCACGTAGCTGCCAAGTCGATCAGTATGCTTGGCAAGACGGCGATGGTATTCGAGGCGGGTACCAAGTCACTGAGCATGAATACGACCTTTGTTACTTCCCATCGAGGAACAAGCCCTTGCAGTTCATTGTGTTCAGTTCCGTACTTCGGTGCAAAGGCTGTACACAGAAGAGCAAAGTTTGCAACAAGCAAACGATAGGCAGATTGATAGTCAGATTAGAACTGTCACGAACTAGGCAGTGATCTTTCGAGGCCTACTTTAGTAATCAATCTGCCTATCGCTTAGTTGTTGGGAACTCTACATGAGAGTTACCGATAACTCTAAGCTGTACAGCCATCCTACAACTCCTAAACCCTTACTAGCTACGATTCTAGCGCTAGATAATAAGACCGCTGTACATATGGCTTAGTTGCAGCGCAAGACTGTAATGCACTATTGATTTGATTGACGTGCTGGCGATGAGACGCAGGCAAAACGCTGTTGAGTTACACTGAATTGTATCGCAGTAGAAGCGTGTTCCCAAACACTTGGCTTACTATATACCGCTTAGTATTGTAACGCACCTTATAGTACTATGTCATTAACTCATGTTGCACAAGCTAAGCTTGATTCTCAAGCAGCTTGTAGTATGATGATATCAGGTCGATCTTCCAACCTTCCTAACACACCCACCCAACCCGTGCATCTAAGACGTTACAGATGTGCTGCATTTCGGTTTCTTTTTTCCTCTCGTAAGCTTTCACCGCCTCTGCACGTCGCTAACACGATCCTCTATTGGCATAACACAACATCGTATACTCCGCTTTTGTCAATCATGAGATCATAAACCAGGTCTAGAATCGAACCCGGCAAAGGCAGTTTCACGTGCTAAGAAGATCTATAGCAATATAAATACTTTCGTTGTAGCCACTTTAGAACAATACAGGCAATCTCTTACAGAACCAGATTATTACACCATCAACGTTGCTTCAAGTATTTCCGAGTTAGTAGTGCCCCGATAACACTCGACACTAATCCAACAACTATTTACTTAGATCTTGAAAACCCATCCAACATGAGTTACATGTCCGTTGCTATGCGCCCCTGGATTTCCGTGGAATCTTGGGGCCCAGATCGCATCGATATCATCGGGATCGGCACAGACAATCAGATGTACCGCAAGAGCTTCGACAGGGGTGATGGCGGCTGGAAGCCCGCTGCCACTTCGTGGGAGCCACTGGGCGGCAAGTTCAAGCAGGTCCCCGCGGCCATTTCCTGGGGTTTCGGCCGGCTTGACATTTTTGGCATTGGTCTCGACAACCAGCCGTACCACAAGGCGTGGGGAAAGAACAGGAAGGCAGGAGGCTCCTGGATTATCAGCGACTGGCAGGGCATAACAGGTGGGCTCGTAAGCGCTCCTGTCCCTGTCTCTTGGGGCAATGGACGCATCGACATCTTCGGCATCGGTGGCACGGGTCATACGATGTACCGCAGGACTTATGGGGAAAATTGGACTCCAGGCGCCTGGGAGAAACTTCCGGGCGAGTTCAAGAGCCTCCCCTCCGCTGTCTCATGGGGTCCAGGCCGGATTGATGTTTTCGCCATTGGCATGGATGACCAAATGTACCACAGAGCATATGACGGTGGTAAATGGCTGTCCAGTTGGAATGGAATGTCTGGCAAATTCAAGAGCTCTCCGTTTGCTGTATCATGGGGCTCAGGTAGGCTTGATGTCTTTGGCATCGGGCTTGATGATCAAATGTACCACAAAGCCTACGACGGAAAGGACTGGGTTTCGAAGGACTGGAAGGGGATCAGTGGCAAGTTCAAGAGCACCCCCTCAGCTGTCTCATGGGGTTCAGGCCGGATCGATGTTTTCGGCATCGGGCTAGATGACCAGATGTACCATAAAGCATTCGACAATGGTAACTGGCAAGGTGATTGGAAGGGAATGACTGGAAAGTTCAAGAGCGCTCCCGCCGCGGTCTCGTGGGGCAAAGGCCGTATCGATGTATTTGGTATCGGAACGGACGATGCAGTTTGGCAGCAATACTACGGTGACAATAAGTGGTCTGGAGGTTGGGGATCTCTCGGCGGAAAGTTCAAGACATTCTAAGCGCTTTGGTACTGTGTGGGACTTCGTAGATTTCTAGCCCAACCTCAAATCGACTTCTGCCTACTATGCTTACTTCTGGCCTTCTTTAAACTTGGTGCACTTCATGTAATCCCTAAGAAATCGTCTCAGCCTTGCGGACATGTCCTGCAGATTGCGGGACGATGATTAGAAAGGTAGAGACACATCTCAGTAGGCAAATAATGTTTATGTGTCTAACAGGCTAAATAATAATCAGCTGCAGCTGTTACTAATACAAGCAATCTACTTGAAGAAACCGGCGCAGAGTCTCTTGAGCCGAACTGAAGACCACAAGATAGCGAGAACAGCTTGTTATCGACTATGGCGACGACGATAAGTTGTAGGCGTGTCCGAGATCGCTTATGGTTAACTTCTGACAGCAGTTGTCTGCGTACGGCCCACTACTTGCTGGTGTGACCAGATGTCGGGCCCGTGTTAGTCCCGCTCCATTCTCAGACGGCCACCTACGTCCATTGCCCGTACGAGGAGCATTGATGCATGAGACGCAAATCTGGCCACCTACTAGGCTTAACTATGCTGCACGAGCTATGGGGTATCGTGCGTCGATCTACGGTAAGGCACTGTCCCGCTGGGTGTGCCCTCGACAACACCCTCGCATGCATGTGTGATCTGTGATAGAACTCGGCATATAGACCATAGCGCGGTCACGCAATGTCACTCAATGCCGATAGTACAATCGTGCTAGTTCAAGTGTAGTTGTCAGTCCGACGTCCCGCGGTTTAGTGTTGCTAGCAGCTGGGCGGATGCTTTAGTGTCAAACTTCATGCCAGAAAAGAATGCAGGCGCAAGAGTCCCCGCGTCGCTGCTGAATCGTTTTTCTTCGTTCTCTTATGCTGTAACCTGCGGGATGAAGCTGTGGTTTGATGTTCTGATCAGGCATTCTCTTCATGCTGAGCGGCTAGCGGACTCCTCGAAGCATCGGGCACCTGTATGTTCTTTGCTCTAACCGTCTGGTGTATGAAGCTCAAGGTGGAATATATGAGACGGAATTTATTAAACCTCAGGGATAGGCTGACAGACTTGATCAAGTGGCACTTCTCTTAGCGAACCCAGCCGCAGTGTCACGGTCATGAGTAGCACTCGACGAGACGGCGCAACCCTCTTTGAGAGCTGAAGTGTCGAATATGGAAGAAAGTTTAGGTTCTGTCGATACGAGGACTCGACTCCGGAGGGGTCAGATTGGCGAAGAACCTTGTGATTGCCGCTTCAGTCATAGCATGGCTAAGGTTCGGCCGTAACCGAAATGACGCGGTTCGCACTCGCGCTAATGCGAAACAGCGCGTGGAACGCCACGTTCCAGATGGCGCACTATTCGACTGCGCCAACCTGCAGTTGGACCTCTCCTCCACTCAACAGTTCATTGCGTGGAGACAATCAGCCACTACATATATACATTCCTCTTTACACGGATGTGAGGTCATTACCCTGGGTTGCTGTTGTTCTGGTGCGAGAACTGCGTTAGTGAAGGTCAGGGTTGGAAGCCACGCGTCTCAATTGCAACTCGGACACGCATCGAATACCATGGCGACGGGAAAGCCATGATCTACAATTTCTGAATACACGGACGCAGTATCATGTACTTGGCCTTTTGCAGCAGCCAGATTCTAAAGCGCCATCGCAACCGGCAGATGTCTCTTCACTCGAGCCTAGCGCCACAGATGGTACCTGAGTACTTACCCTCTCTGGTTCCACGCATCCCATCAGATGCTGTGTGACTTGGAAGCTCACAAGAATGCGCTACTTACCTGCATATTTTCGCTCTTTGCTAGAGCTGTAGAATTAATGTGCAACACGACCCCCGCCAGGCCTACGATGCTGATCAACTTCAACTTCGATCCGTATGCACAACGAGAAACAACGTTTCTGGAGAACCCAGAGTCACATCGTGCTATTGTTTCATGTCCTCAGCAACAATATTCCCACCAACCCGTGCTCGGAAAATTCATTCCGACAGCTGCCACCCCGAACCGTGTGTTCATGACTCTGGGGAGAAGTTCATTACGGTACCCTAGTACTTAGTTCCCGCCCCTAAACGTTCAACATCGTAAATCCGCTTGAGGACTCAAATCGTTTTTGTCCCTCGGCATCGTCTGCTTCAGGCGTTTGGGGTAATTGAGTTCGGCCGTCTGTAACACGATGCAAGAAAGTCGTCTCCGCGATATCGTCATTGGATGCTTTTGTTTACTGATCGTTGAATATCTTTCCAAAGCAGCATGGTGTTTATTCTCCAAGGTAGTGCACATTTATTTGGAGTCGTTCGTGCATTGATAGTGAACTGGTCGTCAGTGCGAGGGGAATGCATATCAGGATGCGACCCCAGCCAGTTCCCGCAGTTGGAAACCCTGTTTACATCTCTACCTTAGATCACTTCACTGGCTTGTATAACAATTCCTGGATATCATGGTGTAAACGCATCTACGCTTGCTCTCCGTATTCTTGGTTGTTGAAGCTGCCATGGCCCAGACCTCATCCAATACCTCAGTCGTATCGATGCTGGGGATGATACCTCAGTGCTCGGTAAGTTGTATCTGAGCTACGCAATAAGACAAATCGATACTGATGACATGTTCTCCCAGGTACCATGCGTCATGACAACGCTGTTCAAGGACGGCGGCTGTCCATTAACCACTGCCACAGCTTTAGCAGACTGCGCATGTACCAACACCACGATGCAGTCCCATCTATCCGCCTGTGTGCAACGTTCCTGCGACTTCGCGGAGCAGATAGGTAAAAGTTCTTACACACGGCATCTCACCTTCGAGACACTGACAGCCTCCAGAAGTCACGGTATTCGCCGGAGGCCTCTGCAAAAGCTATCCAAAGGAGTCGCGGGTACACGAACTGAAGACCATCGCTATCGTTACTATTGCGCTATCCATCCCGTTCCTCAGCTTGCGCCTCTATTCGCGGTGGCTCAAGACTCGCCATCTCTGGTCCGATGACGCGTACGCCATCATCGCTGCGGTTCTCCTCGTCGCCGTGTCAGTCATCATCCTTCGAATGTCCCTCATGGGGTTTGGACTCCATTATTGGGACATACCAGTAGCCCACGGCGTCGAGCTGCTGAAGCTGTACTATGCCTGCCAGATGCTCTATGTTCTGGTGCAAATCTTCTCCAAAGTTGCCATCCTGGCGTTGTATTCCCGGCTCTTTCCACAATTCATGGCCTGGTTCCAATGGACCGTGCGTATCATGATCACTTTCATGTTTGTCCACGGACTCGTGTTCTTCCTACTCGTTACTTTCCAGTGTCTGCCTATTGTTTCCATCTGGAACAAAACCATTGATGGGAAGTGCCTTCCTGTCAACGTCGTCATCGGCTTCACAGGTGCTGGATTGAGTATCGTCGAAGATATCATCATCTTGCTTCTTCCGATTCATCCCCTCTGGCAACTGCAGATGAGCTTCAGGAAGAAGGTTGGATTGATCGTTCTCATCAGCGTTGGGTCGTTGTAAGTTCTCCGCCCACTAGGCACCGACTGAGACCGTTACTAAATTCTACCCAGCGCATGCATCACCAGCATCGTGCGCCTCAAGTTCGTCCTCAAGTACGCCAACACCTACGACTCAACCTGGGATAATGTCGACGTCATCAAGTGGTCCCTCATTGAGATTCTCTCAGCCTGCATATGCGGCAACCTTATGCCTCTACGCCCAATTGTCGACAAGATACTGCCCAGCCTTCGCTCTGTCTTCAGCTCTTACTCCAAGGGGTCGCGTAAGAATTCTGAGAACAGCTCTGATGGCGTCGCAAAGTCCAAGTGGTATCGCGTCAACAAGGGCGATAGGAAACCGAAGCTCATTTCAACGCTCCAGATCACTCGAATGAGCCTGACCCCGCGATGGGCCAATGAGGAGGAAAGTGCAACTTGGATGACATCACCCTTAGACAAGCCGCTGCCTGCACTCCCAGAGATGGCGCACAAGGTACATGAACATCATGTCGAAGAGGGATATATGCATTTGATATCGAATCGAGCTACCAGGGGAAGCTTTGCATGCACAATGCGTTCCTCTGATGACGAGTCTGAGGCAGGCTGGGGTGGTCGTGAGGGCCTCAGTGCACCAGCTCGCGACCACGAAGAGTGCCACTCGGGATCGTGGAGTCGGGCGCTGAGCATGATATTCGAGCGACGATAGCCATTGCTGGCACGAACCCTATGACCTTATGCAGCTGACGACATAATGAATTTGATACCACCTGAACTTTTGGTGGGCTGACAAAGTGTAGTAATAGTTTACGAAGTGAAATCATAGAAAGCCGCACACAATATTGCTGTTCTGATGTAGAATGCACGAGAGCCTGAGGGCCTCTAGATATTTGATTCAATAGTAGTACACTTAGTACAAGCAGGATCTGAGAAACGAGCGACAGTCTGGACCCAACGAGCACTTCGTGTGTGGGCTGGGTAACAATGTTGAAAGCGAATGATGAGAGTTCCCCCTCTCGAAGCGTAAACTCACACCTGACGTGTAAAGGAAAGAAAACGCTGAGTATGTAGACATAATTTGGAAAAAGAAGCGCTCGACACAGCCCACAAATGGCTGCTAAGGGCAGCTAGTCAGAGCGTGGAGGATAAGAAATAACATCAAGGGCTTGCTGGAATGGCACTTTCCCGGTACACTACCCAGTGAACACACCGCCAACGCCTTGCTGCGAAAAGTGTGTTTAAGCTTTGAAATCAAATGTACAATTTACTGAACAGGTACCAAACGCCAGGCGTGGCACCGCCTAGGTGTCTGTCGCACTGTCGAGTCCTGTGGGTTCAGAGTCTGGTGTTCTGGCAGACTTCGCTTTGGGTGTAGGATCTGGATCTGGACTAGTTGCATCCTTGTGCGACTTAGGTGTTTCAATGACAAAGTCGGCAACATCGTCGCCAGGTTCTTCAGGGAACATTACTGGCGGTGTAAGAAGCACCGGAGCGACGGTGGGTGCGTCAAGATTGCTTTCATGTTCCTCCGCAGCGGGATCTTCTGTGATCATTGGAGGTGGAGATGAGGGTAATGCCGAGTCCGCTTGCCCAACATCTTCAACAGAAATCACACTGCCTCTGCTGTTTGTTCGCATCATCTCAATGCCAAGCTTGGACGTGGATTTCGGTCTTGTCTTTGGACTGCGTGTGCGAACAGGGGCGTGACCTAACTCATCGTCTTCGTCATCTCCAGATTCTGCTGACTCGTGTTTACGTGTCTCTAATATGCGACGTTTGGCGCCTACTTGCTCCGCCGATCGCTGACGGCGGATCGTTGCCTCTTCAAGAACGGCTGGTGCAGATTCTCCGTGGGGTAGGTCAGGTGCACCGATACGGTTAGGAATAGCTCCTTTGTGATCGGCATTAGCTGCGTCATCCGAGATGCCCAAACCACTCATGGCTCGCGCGATGTCGCGCTCCCTCCAATCGTCGGCGTTGTGCACTCTCACCGACATATCCTCGCCTGCACGACTGTCATTGTCGCCAAAGAAGCTGGAGCTAATAGAATCTTCGCGGCTAGAGCCTCGATAGCTGGCAGAAGGCACAGGTGGATAGCCGGAAGAGTTCGAGGTTGTGGGGCTATCTTCTTGACGCGAAGACTCCTGTCGAAGTCCCGAGGGCATCATTGATGGGTAAACTTGGTTCGGTGTCCAGCCCGGCGGCGGCGCTTTCCACTGACAAAGCCTACTCAGCGTATCCGTAAGCTTGGCGACTGTAGGTGGTTTTTCAATGAGTGCATCAAAGTAGTGAGGCGCCTGTAGTTCCTTGAGATATCCAGTGACAGCAACGATCGGGGTATGGGTGTTGGCATTCTTCGTATCTCGTATCATACGAGCAACGTCAGCGCCGTTGACCTGAGGTAGTCGAAACTCCATCATGATGACATCAAATTTGACTTCGCCCATGGCATACCGTATAGCTTCAGACCCGTTGGTAACTGTCAAAGTGCGACAGCGCAGCTTTTCCAATAACTTCTCCATGACGAGTCGTGATACTGGGTGATCTTCGCATATCAATACGTCCAGGGGTCGGAAGAAAGGACCATCACCGAAACTGATCTGCGAGAGCCTTCGAGAGCTCTGTCGGCGTCGCTGCACGCGAAGGAGAGCCTTTGCGCGAGAATCTTCGGTATCGGATGACGAAGGAGATACATCAAGCACTTGACTCCGGCGCTTATAGTGTCCTGGTAGAAGATCGCGCACAACATCGTCCTCTTGAGATCCAAGTGTTTGTGATCGAGCGCGGGGTGACGAAGCGGCTGTCTGTCCCAATGATGACTGTCGTTGTCCTGGGACAGCTTTCTCTTGGGAAGTCGCTGACGGCGCTGACGGTGTTTTCGAGAGCCTGTTTGGTGAAACGGCCTCAGGAGAAGGTCGCAAACCCGAGACACGGGAAGGATCAAAGAAGCTGCCTGGTTGGAGGGATGACGGGTTGCTGGTTGAATGCGACAGTGTCGACGAGCTGCTAGACGTCTTACGTCGGTCATGATGCTGTCCTGTGCTAAATTGTACGAGTAATGGAGATGATGGCTGCGAACCACGACTAGGAGAGGAATGTGGTCCACTGACTGAAGGTGATGAGGGCCGTCCGTTAGCCCTGTTGGTGGACAGTGTACGTTTGAGCGGGCCCGGCAGCATGGGGCTGTTTTCCAAGGATGGTGAAGGTGACGTGACACTAGGTGACTGAAGCGGGGGCGCAGGCTTGTTCTGCGGAAGCATCGCTTCTGCGCGCAACTTTTGGATAACATCCTTGTTCGCCTTTTCCAGGACAGGTAAATTCTTGTAACTAAAGTTACCAAAATCGTCAGTCGCCATTGGTTCACTGAGCCTCCGTGACCTGCCCTCTCGAACGTGTGCTGGGATGTGAAGAGGGATCAGCCCACGCTTCATAGTCGACACAGTGACTTGTGATCGCACTCTGGACAGGGCGTCATGGGGTCTGTCGGGGTAATCTGTACTTGGTGTACCCGCTGGTGTGGTCGCTTCGTCTTGGAATTCGGGGCTAAAGTTCGCCATGGCAGCTCCTCTGGTATCGAAGTACTCTGTATCTTCCGGATTCTCGGGTGCCGGAATGAAGGATGCTTCATCGTCTCGAAGAGTGTCCCAGTTGATGTCAGCGAACCACGGGTGGCTCCGAATTTCTTCTCCGCCGCTAGCGTATCTATCGTCCTTGTTCGCCCCAAGTCGCTGTGCAGGATCAGAACACATCAAACGATTCATGAGGTCCTTTGCATCATCTGATATGTCATACAACTCATCATCATCCTCAGGCCAGTCGATTCTTCGCGCAAGGATATTTTGGAAAACCTCATCCGGTGTATCGGCATGGAAAGGAGGGTATCCATACAAGGACTCGAACAAGATGCATCCTAGAGACCACCAATCGCTTACTTCATCTTGACCATTGCCGGCGATAGTCTCCGGGGCAAGATAATCAGGTGTGCCAACGAACTTTCGGTCGCTGTCTTCTGGATCGAACAGAGTCATTGGCGGAGGTGGCATTGCAGATGACGACGGTGCAAGTGCGCTGTTCTGAGCTATCGCAGACTGACTCATAGAGTTGGGTGCAGGGTAAAGGTCTGGAGAACCATCATCACTATAAGCCTCTTCTTCGATCGGGGATCGGCCACGAGGCTGACCGAATGAGTCGTCAGCTATGGAAAAGCGACGGAACATTGCCTGCAGTGCATCGCTGTCTTGACTGTCGCTTCGGGTTCCAGAGGTCCGCCTTGAAGGTTCCCGGCTTTGTTGGGAGGTCTCCCGGTTCAGACTGAAGTATGACGGCTGACCAATATCTCCAGCAAGAGCAGGTGTCATAGAGGGTGTCTGTGAAGGTGAGTGGTTCAGGTCAAAGGATGCAGATCGTGAAGACCCCACAGACGTGGCGCGATGGAATGGGCCGGTCTTAAGCAGGTCGGGTGCAGGCTCAACGGACTTGAGTGCACGCTTTTGTCGACCAATCATACCCATGCGCGACAGACCGAAGTCAGTAAGCTTGAGATGGCCTTTCCCATCGATGAGAAGATTGTCTGGTTTGAGGTCGCGATGGACGATGCTCCGGCTGTGCAGATGTTCCACACCGAGTACTACCTCAGCAAGATACTTCTTCGCCCAGTCTTCTGGTAAAGCACCCAGAACCTTGATGAGCGAGGCACAATCACCACCATTGAGATACTCCATGACAAGATAGAGATAGTCCTTGCTAGAGAAGGTCCAATATAGTTTAGCCACGAAATCACTCTCACCTTGCCACATCATAATGGCTCGTTCAGCCTTGACATTGGTGACTTGATTCTTGGCAACCATGTCGGCCTTTTTCAGCACCTTGATGGCGTAGTATTCTCCAGTGGATTTCTTCTTGGCAAGGTAAACACTACCGAAAGCACCTTTGCTGATTGGCTTGATGATCTCGAAATCCTTGATGGACGGAGGTACTGCACGCGGTTGCGGCTGTGTGGTAGGAATCAAGCGAGGAGAAACGGGCCTAGGGCCATCTGATCCAGCGGTAGAAGACTGTCGACGGTGATGGTTGAGAGCATGGACCATAGCCGGCGATGAAAACTCCGTAGTAGGTAGGATTGGTGACGTGATGGGTGACTGCAAAGCCTCGACACCACTTGGGAGACGTGGCTTATTGGTCCGGAGAGGCGAAGATGGTGGAGGCACCATGGATCGAGCTGGCGAATGCTGTCGACTAGACATTACACTTGGCAGTATCAAGCTCTTACGTTTGCGTTCACGAGAACTAGCTACCCTGCTCAGTCCCACATCAGATGTCGCTGGTGAGTCTGCTCGACGAGGACCAGACAAGACAGATGAACGCATGCTGGTATCACTCTCAGCACCAGCATCGCTCTCAAAATGCATTGATTGGCGCTTGCTCTGGGTCGCGATACTAATCGCACCCGCATGGGATCGTGGTGTTTGACATCCTCCTCTCGGACTGCTAGAACGGTTTGAGCCGGCTACTGAAGATTCGCGACGTCCAACTCTAGCTGGTAAGGAAGCGTCGGATGTATTACGAAGAGCTTGTGCCATGGACGAAGGAGCGTCGAAGGATCCAGGGAATATCCCCTCTTCACCAGGTGCTGTATCGGTATCGTTAGTGTCTGATGGTATCTCTTCTTCAGGCTGCTCGTCTTCGGAAGAAGTGTCTTCGCCAGCCGCAATGCGAGCGGCTTTCAGAATCGCAGCTTCTATGCATTCCTGGACTAATATATCAAACTCGATACGGAGACGTTCAGAGTACTCGAGTACCCTCCTGTGGCGAGTAACAGCGTCGATCTTTGCTCTTGCGAGCCGGCTAGTATCTTCGCACAATAGCTTCAGCCCCTCAGTATGGTCGACCGAGCCTGTAGTCGGTGATTGCCACTGAAGAACTTGCGATATGCGATTCTCCGATTGCGGTGACTGTGTACGAATCTCGGTGGCTGCCGGGCCACGCCCGTTATCCTTGACTGCTGGCGTGTTGATCTCTAGAGCTGTATCGCATAGGTCCAGGACCAACTCAACGATACGAGCCAAAGGTCTTCGTACAGCGAAAGATCGTGCGCGATGGTGACCAAATCCAGTCGAACGCTCGGAGCGCTCGCGTGATCTCGAAGGCGGCGATGCAGGGGAATTGCGTCCTGAGGGGGTACCCGATGATGGTGTTGATGTCGAATGGATAATCAGTCCTTTGTACTCGGCAGGCTGAAGCGGTTGTACGGAATCGACTGCTGCGGCCCTCGAACGCTGGCTATGAGATTCGAGTGTATCCAACACCTTTACGATAGCATTGCGGTGCTCGGAGAGTGTTTCTTGTGCCATCTGTACATCCATCTCGGCACGGTGCTCTTGCAAGCACAGTTCAGAATGTTTCTCAAACCACCAGGGCGTGATTTGTCGTTCGCAGATTCGGCAGAGGACAGGAAGCGGTGGCGCAACGTCACCCGGATCTGTCGCGCTCTGCTCGGCAAGACCAGTAAGGTAGTGGGCAAGGACTTCGGCGCCGACTCCGAGGGACTCGACAAGAACTTCTGGAAGGTCAATCGTCACCTCGCGAATAATTGACGGCCGGACCATCCACATTGTCTGTCTGGGTTAGCACGCTGAGAAGGAGAATTGGGTTCAGACGTACATGACTCTCCGCTCCAGTGGTTCGGTCATAGACCATGATGCCTTGTGCTTCAAGGTTCAGAAGCTGATCCTCTTCCTCCTCTACGTGGGTTGGAGACATGGGCAGCGACTCTTGGCCCTCTGCGGCGGTATGTCTTGATTGCCGCTTGCGCAGGATGGAATGAGGCCCTAGCCGTACAGTGAAGCGGGCAATATGACTCCTGGAATCGTCCTTTCTGACTGACTCGATGGTGTCAGCAAAGCCATCGGCTCCTCCGCATATGATTTCAAGCACAGGCTTGCCCGTAACTTCCTTGGGCAGGGAGCCAATGACGTCGGTCCACGAAGGGCTGACATAGCGAATCTTGCCCTCGAGATCCAGGTCCATGATGATGTTCAGGCTGTGCTCGGCGGCCTCCTTGAGGTCGGCACGCTCGTTGCGCATGTCCTGGCTGACGGTACGTTCCATGTTCTGGCGATGGCCGACGGAGCCCACAGCCTCCTGCTTGAGGGCAGTGACTGCAGGCGGGGCAAGCGTCGTGGGCTTCTTGTCGTCGGCCATGGCTGAGGTGGGTTGCTGCGTGTACATTGGGTGCCGCTATCGCTGCGAGAGCCCGTCGCCGGGGGGGATGGGCGGGTGCCCGAGGGCTGGCTGGTGCTGGGCTATGCGCAGAGAGCTGCCAGGACCATGGTGGGAAAGAGACGACGGTCCGGAAGAGTCGGGCGTGTAGGTCAAAGGTACGCGTTGTTGAGCAGGACGGTGGGTAGTGCTTGCTGACTGCAACGAGAGTGGGCCGCGAAACCGGGATGAGGGGACTAGTCGCGCTGCATGATGGTGCTAGGGGAGCGATTGGGTGATGTAATGAGCGTCGAATGGAGCGTTGGTAGTGTAGTGCGTGGGTGTGGGCAGTAGCAGTAGTGCCTGGGGGTGCTGGCGACGGATGGTGTGTTCCCTATTCGGCTGCGGCGGTGGTGGTGGTGATAAACGGACGGGAGAGGGGCACACAGTCGATGTCTTAGCCGGCAGCACGACGACTTGGGGACGAGGTGGACAAAAAAGAAACAACGCCAGGCGAGCGGATGAGCAGCTGCAGGCATGGAATGGGCCCCTTCGGCACGCTATCCAGCTGGCAAAAGTCCCCACGCAGCACGCAAGCACGCGTCGAGTGGAAGTCACACGGAAAACAGCCGTGCAGTGGGCGGAGACTAAGCCTGGCTAGCGCCCCAGCTACGGCTGCACATCCTGGTCGCCAAAATAACGGCAGAACGTCTTTCTTCTGTTTCACCCGACACTGCCACTGAACGGCGGCGTTGCGCAATCAATCCAGCCAGACAGCCATGGCTGCAAAGAGGGATGCCATGCTGCTGCCCTTGTGTTCATGTCCTCACCTCTGGCGCGCGCCACAGGCCTCCCGTCCACTGACCGCTTCCTCTCTGCATGCTCCCGGCAATCCCTGGATCAAGTGCAGCCCGTTGTGGCATTTGCTCGCCCATGTCTCTTGTCAGCTTGGGCGACGACACGAGACGACGCGGGCATGTAAACACTATTCTGCAAAACCACGCTTGTAGTCAGCCCTTACTATCTGCCCCTCTTCCCCAGCGCCGCCGATTGCGCCAAACGACAACTAGACTGCTCGGACAATAATGTCGAGCGGCTACGGTGCAGCATCTCGAACGCATGTTCACGCCAGCATCAGCCGAGCATCATCACCATGGCCCCCTCAATTAACACGGCCCAGCGTTGCACCACCTGTGCCGTTGTTGCTCTCGACAACAATCGTGCCCCTCGCCAGGACCTGCAGCGTCGCCGTGGATACACCACCTGGGAAGACGTGCAGATCGCTTCTGTCCGCCCAATCACACCCTCGTCGCATGCACCTCTGTTCCTTCCCCGTCTTGCTTGGACGCGGCCCAGGCCCGCTACGTCTGCACCTAAGCCCGGCTTGTCTGCGGCCATATAGACATTACACACACTGGAGCGAACCGCATGCTATTCCCGCTCCGTACCATTCCTATTCGACATTCATCAGGGAACCGTCTAGAGAGCTCCATGTTGGATGCGTCCAGACAAATCGTGTCCAAGTGCAGCGCAGCACCACACCCTCACCAGACTAGCTTTGCGTTAGCGACATTCGCCACCTGGACAACGACGTGCATCGAGAGGGGATATTGACTAAGATTTATTGAATAACGGCCAGATGATGTTACATGCCATGACATCTCCCAGTGTGCCGAAGCCGAGCGTTAGAGACGATGCGATAACGCTGCCGCTTCCGTGCCGAAACCTTCGCTTTATCACGTGCTGTTCCGAACGTCCGTGGATGTATGCTTCAAGTACAGTTTACACCATTGACCGTCAAGCTAGTCAAAGTACACTGCCTCCGGCTTGTGCACACAAATCTTCCCCGACGATTCACTCTTGAGTACCACCCTGGGATCTTCTTTGCTCGCCTTGACGCTCTTTCCATCAACCGTCTTCTCCTCATACAGGACCTCGACCACTTCGCCGTCGACGTAGCCAGGTAGTGAGTGCCATTGAACTTTCTGGCCCTTCTTCGGTACCCGAGTCTTGTCGCCGGCAGCTCCAATTGGTTCATCATGCTTTCCACCCGCACTTTTCTGTTTCTTGCTCGGAGCCTCTGCATTCGCACCGCGTCCACGCTTTTTGCCCGGGTGGTCTTCCTGCGCTGAGCCTTTGGACTTGCGATTAGACTCCAAGAACTTCTGGTATTCCCTTTGATCGTTCTCCATGTGGTCTGGGTCATCCCACTGTGTGGTGCAGTCCGTCTTGCTCTTCTTTTCGATCTTGGTATATGTGTTGGTATCGTCCTCTTTGCTAGCATCCTTTCTGGCGTGAGCAGCCTTTGAAGTGTTGGCGACGTGTTGCTTGCCCTCCTTGCTTCCTTCCTGCTTCTTTGCATCTGTCTCTTCCTTTTCCTTCTCACTCATCTGTTCCCACGCCTTCTTCGGTAGGTACCGATGTTCTAGACCATTTTCATCTTTCGCGCTTCCGCTGCCTTCTTTGGTCTGCCACTCCTCCTCTGTCCATTTGTCGAGGTGCTTCGCACTGTCGTCCTTCTTATCTGTGGTATAGTCTCCGCCGCGTTTCTTGTACTCAGAAGCCATCATCTGCGCCTGCAATCAACGTGTCAGTGCTGCCCATAGTACCCGCGATCATTGGGTATACCTTTCGAGCGGACCATTGGCCAGGCGCACCTCCTTTTCCGCCAGCCTGAATCTCTTCCTTGACCTCATCACGAAGCTCTGGATCTGTGTACTTATCGTCGGTCTTGGAAGGCATTTTAGATGACTTTAGTCGAGTAGCAAATCTTGGAGAAATTGTAATCACACAAGGCGCACGGTATGCGGAAGCAAATGACAACGTTCGGGAGAAAACCGTGCGATACATTCCAGAAGAACGGGCGTCCAGCAACCAATCTTTGTACTACCCCGGATTTCCTACCACTGACGTACAGGTACCTGCGCAAGCTCCGACCCTCCTCATCTTAAGCACCCAGCCACCCAGAATCACCTACATCATGAAGTCTTCACAATTCTTCTTCCAGGCGGCCAGAGCACCTTGAATGCTGGTACGGCACGTTTCGCCCCTTTCACAAGCGCGTCGGGATGACATCAATGACTTCTTGATATTTCGCTTTGGGATGGTGTCGACGCTCGGACCCGAGGCTGCGCAAAGAATGAGGAGAAGCCACTTAACGTACAGCACCCGGTTAACTACTCGACAAGTCTCGCGAACCCCTAAACCCCTACGCTGGAATGTCGTCGCGCAGGTAGGTGCACTCATGTCGCACATTTCCCCGGCATGAAGACGCATTGCGCGTCTTTTCAGCATTCAAGCCAGACAGCTCCTCAGATCATGCGCGCTCTACGCCGATATGGGCCGGTCCGAAGCTAGCGTGCCATAGGCATGGGCTAGTTGTCAAGCGCAGCCATCACTTTGCAATTACTGTTCACTATCCTGCATTTACCTGCGCAAGTGACTGGAGGGCGCATGCCGTTGCGTGTTTCAATATGGAAAACTGTAGAACCATTGTTTTTGTGGAGTCAGCAAAGTCTATGAAACGTGATCAGCATCGAGGCGCACGTCTTGAAGCATCGTCGTATCGTCGCATCAACAAGATTCTGTTGGTCAAGTAAAGTATCTTGAGCTCATGTGATTATCTCTGATTGTCTCTGTCAGCTCAGGTCAGCTTGTCAATATTGAAATAAATTCTCTCCAAAGAAAAGTCCTAACCATCACGCTTTTCGACTGGAATCACCCTGATTTGGAAAGTTGGTAGCTCCCTGCAAAGCGTGAAGGCAGGCTAGCTATCGATCTATCAATTCGGCAATCGCCCCACCATTGCGTAGTCTGAAGGATCGTGATATGGGCAAGCCATTCTCTTTTGCTGTCTCCTGGCTGGAGACTCCTCGAGTTTTCTCGACGACAAGGGCGCTGTTGTTCAAGCTCATGCAGTCTGATCCCTATATTCTTACTTTTCCTGCCGACCCATATGTTACCATGAAATTCACGTTTTGGCTAATGTTCGGCCAAGTACAAGCACGGTACGCACTACCTTAGCAGTGCTTAGGGTGACCTTCCGTCATGGCATCTAACGCGTGCACTATCTTCAATAACGTATCTGCACTGCAGCCAAATTTCTCTACCTCTCCTGAGATTTACGGTTACGACGGCTGTGTGAGAGTTGCTAGTAAAGTTACAAAAACGCCTTCTCCGTGTGCGGCGTACGGTAGCTTCCCTATACTCATTGAAACTCTCATCTACTACACCCTTTGGAGGCTCCTAGACAGAACCGGCGGGTTTCGAGAGGACACCATAATGTGCTGGCGCCCTTTCATCCACACAGTAGGAGCATCTAGATGCGAGAGTGAGCGCCTGACCTACCCTAACAGCTGTTTGTGGAAGGCTTTTGAGAAACATGGAGTAGGGCCATGGTCCACATATGATGTAAAGGTTGTAATCTAACATTATTGACGTCTGCGGTGAAAGTCCTATAAGAATGTGTGCACGTAGTCGCAGTGGTCAACGTACATCTCTCGCTGTCTTTGTAAAAGCATACTCAACTATTCCTAACGATGCGTCTTGTTCCAGTCTTGTTCGTAGCGTCCAGCACGGCACTTCCTGCTGCACTTCACTCCCGGACAGCCCTACTGAACGCACTTCTACCTGACATCTCCCTCCCGATTGACTTCTCTTTCGGCGTCCGCGTACCAACTTCCTCCAACCCATCTTCTTCCAACCCTCTAGCCCTCTTGGTGAACGGCTACCAGATTCAGATTCCGCTTATCGCAAAATCTGGGACTCTCGTCTCTTGGATAGCAAACTACGCAGACGGAAAGCCATACAATACGCAATTCACTTCCATCAACCCGTCGGCCCCTAGAAATATAACTACAGACTCAGACTCCACCTCACAGCAAGGTGGAAACAGCTTCACAAACGCAACAGCGTTAGCAGATGGTCGACAGGCTCGTGTCATCACCACATCCTTCTCCTCGGGCAATGCCGCATCTGCCGCAGCGGCGGCTCTTGACGGGACAACCTCGTCTTCCACATCTTCATCAGGAGCCTCCAACAGCACAGCAGTTGCTACCACAAATGCATTGGGCGAAGTGCTCATCTTGACCTCTGCCAATACCGCCAACGCCTTGAACTCGCAATCGATTCAGAATGCGCGAGGCGCGGAAGCAGCATCGTCATGCGCCGCCGACTCGGGCCCAGCTGCATCCGCAGAAGCTGAGCAGATAAACAGCCTTTACATTCCTATTGGGACTTCTCCCGATGGCAAGGATACCTACTGGTTGAAAAGTTCGGCCTATGCGGCGTGTTCGGCGGGTGTGGATGCACCGACACAGGGCGGTAGCTCGAGTTCAGGTAGCCAGGCCTCTTTGACGGGGGTGAGCAGCAGTGTTACTTGTAATGGGGCCACGAGCAATGACCAGACAAAGAGCACGACATACAAGGTCAGTGTCAAGGGGAGGTATACTCTGTTGAAGGGGTTTAACGGCGCGGTTGGTGGACAGCGAGTTGCAGACAGTCAAAGTCAGTGTTAGATGAGTTCGAGAAGATTCGTCGTTAGTGTACTTTGTAGAGATGAGAGAAAGTGATTCTTTGAAATGCTATTCTTGTTCTAAGTCCTGAGTGCCGTTGTTTGGTATGAGGATCGTTACGTCTTTGGCCAGTAATAATTTGAAAGCGATTGATCAAACTGCGGCTAGACATGTATACCTCGTTCGTCTTTCTCACCGGGTCGAGTAAATAAAATTTTATTGTTGCCTGAACTCGGAGCGTTTTGCGCTTCTTTTTACACGGATTTCGGAAGTACGTTTCCAGTGAGACGTCTCTTATCCACTCTTGTTTTTACAACCACGATCACCGCACAAACAATAAGGCTACTGCGAAGAGTTTCCTCTCACAATCACTTCTTTCTGTGTTACCACGACGTCGTTGCGATTAGATGGTACAATAGCAATCGCCTGTCAGACGCACAAGGGTTTCAGTGGTGGAACAACAAGTCGTGCCAGCATGATGGCCCCAAGGCCATTCAAACACGCATACGCAGACTCACCGCCTTTTCGTTACGGCATGCCGAAGAATGAAGACGATGGCAAAAAGCATGGAAGCACCAAGTGGAGATCAGCGGGTAATCGATACGGGGGCAGGGAGCATGGGCCTCCATCGCCAAGATGCGGGGAGAGCTCCTGCCCCAACATGGATGGCTAACGGCACCAGCCATGCAAGGTACCACAGCTGTTGTAGCGTGCAGCTGACGTTGAAGCCATCTCTACATAACCCGCGCCCAAACATCCTCGCACGATCTCATCTTCATCCAACATGGGCGGAGAATCTCATCGCAATATGCCGGTGCCGGTCGCGAAAGATTACCCCCAGCTGGCGGCTGGTCCGGTTGGCAAGCAGATCCACAGCATCTATCAGAGCCGCTTGAGGCAGTTTGTTGATGGCGGACAATACAGGGAACAGAGTCTTATCGGGTAAGCATACAGCTACACCAGTGCCACAGCTCCGACTCCATTCCTAGCTTCGAGATGCTCATACGTCATCTAGCAAGCTCACCGAAGCTGTTGCGTCGGGCACCGACTGGGTCAAGCTCTCCGTCTACTCGCCCCCGAACCTCTCGCGTCCTCTGTTCAAAGAAGCTACTTCTCATGCGTTCCATCCTACCAAGGTCGGCGAGTCATTCGGTCCCAGCTGGTCGACGCACTGGTTCAAGGTCCAGCTTACAGTTCCAAAGCACATGCTCGACAAGGAACATCTTGAGTTCGTATGGGACGCCAACAACGAGGGGCTGATCTGGACTGAAGATGGACACACTGTCCACGGGCTGACCGGTGGTGGTGAGAGAACGCAATGGATCCTGCCCAAAGCCTACAGAGACGGCAAGGAGCATACCTTCTACATCGAGATGGCTTGCAACGGCATGTTCGGGAACGCACCCGGTGGCGATTCCATCCAGCCACCTGCACCCGACAAGTACTACACGTTACACACCGCCGAAGTACAGGCAGTCAACTTGGAGGCAAGAGCACTCTACTTTGACTTTTGGGAGATCTCAGACGCCGCCCGCGAGTTTCCTGGAGACTCAACGCAGGCTCACGATGCCCAGCAGGTCTGCAACCGCATCATTGACGCTTTCATTGCCGGCAATGGAAGTCAAGAAAGCATCAAAGCAGGTCGCAAGATTGCCGCCGAGTACGTGGGCAAGGATGTAGACTCGCACAAGGTGTACGAGAGTGGCCAGGAGGCCATCGTACACGGCATTGGCTATTGTCACATAGACACTTGTTGGCTGTGGCCCTTCGACGAGACCAAGCGTAAGGTCAACCGATCATGGTCGAACCAGTGCGACCTCATCGAACGATACCCCGAGCTTCGCTTCTGCTGTTCACAGGCGCAACAATACAAGTGGCTTGAGCAGTACTACCCCTCTACGTTTGATCGTGTCAAGAAGAAGGTCAAAGAGGGCAGTTTTCAGCCTATCGGCGGCAGCTGGGTCGAGCACGATACCAACCTTCCTGGCGGAGAATCGCTCATTAGGCAGTTCTTGTACGGTCAACGCTACTTTGAAAGCAAGTTTGGTCAGAGATGCCGTACATTCTGGTTACCTGACACATTTGGATACTCAACGCAATTACCCCAAATCTGCCGCATATCTGGTATGACGAGATTTCTTACACAGAAGTTGAGTTGGAACAACATCAACAATTTCCCACATACAACATTCAACTGGGTCGCGCTGGACAACAGTCAGGTCATCTGTCACATGCCGCCATCGGAGACGTATACCTGCGAAGCAAACTTCGGAGACGTCAAGCGCAGCGTTACACAGCACAAGTCCCTGGACCAGGACAAATCGTCTTTGATCGTCTTTGGTAAAGGGGATGGAGGCGGCGGCCCGACTTGGCAGCATCTCGAGAAGCTCAGGCGGTGCCGCGGCATCAGTGACACAGCTGGTCTTTTACCTCGTGTTAAGCTGGGCGACTCGGCGGATGACTTCTTCGACCGTCTAGAGAAGAAAGTCGAAAATGGCACCGAGCTTGTGACGTGGTACGGCGAGCTGTACTTTGAGCTCCACCGTGGTACATACACTACGCAGTCTAACAACAAGCGCAATAACCGCAAGGCCGAGATCATGCTAAGGGATATCGAATATCTTGCGACTCTGGCTACAATCAAGAACGGCTTCGGCAAGAAGGGCTCGTACAAATACCCGAAGAAAGATATTGACGACATGTGGGAAAATGTGTTGTTGTGTCAGTTTCATGACTGTCTACCTGGAAGTTCAATTGAAATGTGCTACGATGACTCTGACCGCGTAAGTTGCTGCCCTCCTTGTCAGCAGCTTCCCACTAAATGTTGCTAGATATATGCCGAAGTTTTTGCCACTGGCGAGCGTTTGCTTTCCGATGCCCTTACTGAACTCGGGTTTAACGATGAAAGTCACTGGGACCATGATACGAAACTTTTCGCAATGAACACTCTACCGTGGAACCGTAGCGAGATTGTCAAGCTGCCTAGCTTGGCGAGCCGGACGAAGTATGGGATGGCTAATGCTCAGTACGGTCTCGCTCACCGTGACGGGTCTCAAAAGGGGTTGGGCGCTCTGAACGTCTACCCCTTGACCTCAGCATACCCTGCTTCGAAGGCGTCCATTGAAGAGATCCATACCAATGTCTTTGAGCTTCGAAACTCCCAATTCATTGTGCAAGTCGCCAATGGCGCCGTCACTTCGCTCTTCGATATCGCCGCAGATCGCGAACTCATCCCCAAGGGTGCCAAAGCTGGCCAGCTTGTCATCTATGACGATAAGCCACTTTATTGGCAAGCCTGGGACGTCGAGGTCTACCACTTGCAATCTCGTCAAGAACTCGAGCCGAGCAAGGTGACTATCGCAGAGGACAGCGTACACCGAGTCAGTCTTGAGATCGAGACGAAGATTTCTGACAAATCCTGGATCAAGACAACGCTCAGTCTACCTGCAGCTGTAGGAAACACACCCAGCGCCATTGAGTTCGATGCAGAGATCGAATGGCACGAGACGATGAAGTTCTTGAAGGTGGAGTTTCCCGTCGATATCGTGAACACAGAAGCCAGTTACGAGACACAATTCGGAATTGTACGCCGACCCACACACTACAACACAACATGGGACATGGCCAAGTTCGAGGTTTGCTGCCACAAGTGGGCTGATTTGTCTGAAGCCACATACGGTGTCTCTATTTTGAATGACAGCAAATACGGTTTCGCCGTAGCCGGAAATGTCATGCGCCTCTCACTTCTTCGTGCGCCCAAAGCACCAGACGCCCACGCCGATATGGGAAGCCACAAGACTCGCTACGCCATCTTCCCCCACAAGGGCGGTCTGGACGAACGCACAGTCCGCAAAGCCTTTGAATTTAACAACCCGCTCAAGATTGTCGGACGTCAAGATCCTCTGTCTACTCTGCATAGCAGTCTGCTGAATCCTTTTCATATCCACGGCGCACCCAACCTTGTGCTAGACACTATCAAGCGTGGGGAGGATGATGAAGATGTCAGCCGCGGTGGATTACCGATCAAGAAGGGTCATTCCATCATTCTGCGTATTTACGATAGCTTGGGCGGGAAGAGCAAGGGTGTGCTAACGTGGGGTGATGTTGACGTCAAGAAAGTAATCAGAGTCAACGCACTGGAAGACGAGGAGGGCGAACCTTTGGTGATCAGCGACATGAGGGTTGGAACAGAAGAGAATGGTGAGAAGGGTGTACCGGTTGAGATTCGCGCGTTCGAGGTGGCAACATACAAGCTCATTTTGGCGTAATGATGATGCAGGTTATTTGAGGGATGAGTAATGACCAGGAATGGTATGCATATGGACTTTCCTTCAGCTATGTGGAGTCAAGGTTTTTGGGGTATTTTCAGCGTCTCAGTATACATAGTTGAGCATCAAATATAACCACTTCGTGTCATAGTACCGATAGCCAGCATACTATTCCATGTGAATGTGAAATACAATCCATTGTATCCAAAACGCCAATAATGCTGTGTCCCAACCTCTATGTATCAATGGCTAGGCTTTCAGCTTGCATCATACCGTGACTCTTGGACACAAAGTTCAGCTGTCCTATAGGGCACTCACCCTGCTCACTACTACATGAAGAAAACAAACCTAGTGGATGCGATCCAACTTGAGCCTGTTCCTGGCAATCTTGTCATCAACCTGGTCCGTCTTGCCAGTGATGCGTGTGATGTGGGTATTTTGCTTGTCGACCTCCTCGCCCATTGCTCTACCAAGGTGGTTGAGGTTCTTGGCCATGCCGTGGAGTGCATCTGTTCATAGGATAGTCAGTATATGCGCGATCACGGCCAATCATAATGACAGAGAGTTCTGGTATAGGACGATGAACAGGAAAGACATACCCAAGTTGCCATCGATCTCATTCTCCATGGCATCATCTTCCTCGTCGGCCTCGAACTGGAACTTGGAGCGCGCGGCAAGCGAGCTCTTGTTGGGGCCCGCTGGGCCACCTCCCTGTTGTAGCTGGCGCTGAGCTTCGTTCGCGCGAGCTCCAGACTCCCACTTGGCGCGGTTGGTGGCTTCACGGGTCTCGCGGTCGCGCGCGTGCTGGTCCATGGCCTGTTGCATTTGCTTCTCGCGCTTGGAGTTGCCTGTGAAGGGGTTCGGGACGATGGAGAACATGCTTGCATTGATGCCTGGCGACGCTTTAGTCAAGACGGTTACTGATAACGTAGGGTAGGTACTCACGAGCCAGTTCCTTGGTTTGGCCATTAGCCCTGTCACTCTGGATGGAGGCAAGGTCGAGATTGCGTTCAGTGCTAGCGACTGGTCAGCTGTGCATGCTCATGGTCAAGTCGGGCCAGACTCACTTGTGAATACGCTCTCCTTGGGCCGCTAGGGTTCCCAGGGTTCCGCGACCAGTTTCCAAGGCCTGCTCAGCAAGACGTAGAGCATTCCTCGTACTAGCAACGTCTTGTTGCTTCATGAACTTGATCTCTTGCTTTGTGGCGTCGATGTCCTCCTCTTCTTGTTCCTCAGCCGTCAATTGACGGTCTTCATAGGTTCCATAGCCACCAGGTGTGGATCCGTAACCACCAGGAGCTGCATCGCCGTATGCGCCGCTCGGGGTGCTTCCATAGGCACCGCTCTGTCCAAGGGCGCTAGGCTGTTGGGCCGGCTGCGCTTTCTGGCGTTGGGGTGCATTGCCGAAAAGCTCGTTGCGGCCTGCTTCGGTGCTCATGGTGTCGTTGGAAGCGGTCCTTCCAAGGCCTCCGTAGCCGCCAGGTCGCTGGGGTGCACCTCCGCCGTAGCGGTCGTTTCCATAGCCTGACTGCGCGCCGTAGCTTCCTCCCTGGGCACCGTATCCACCCGCATTCTGTCCGTAGCTCTGACCTGGGCCTGTCACGGCTGGCGTCTTCTCCTGTCGAAACGATGTGTCCTGACCACCAGGGGAGTAGGATGGGGGTGGCTGCGCGTACGGGTCCTTGGCTACAGGCGCGGCATATGGATTCTGGGCTGCTGGGCTAGCTGTTCCAGCCTTGTCTTTCTTCTTGGAGAAGAGTCCCATGGTTTATGTGTAGAGGGAGGAGTCTGTGGAGGGGTTTTGGCGGGAGATTCGTGTCGTGTATGCGTCGGTATTAGGGGTCGGTGCGGTGAAAGCTGACAGGTCGGGAAGCACCAAGGGAATTGTGGGGTGCCTTATCGATTGGCCTAGTCAAAGTTTACTGGACGTCCTTTCTGATCGTATACGCAAACTCGAAATAGGGAGATGGAAGGGATGTACACGGCGAAGAGGCGACGTCGCAGTATATGAATGTCACAGACAGAAGAAATCGTGTTTGAGCAGTCGATGTTTTGCTGCGTCTGGTGTTTCAATCACTTCAAGCGCCCAACCTGCCGCTAGTGAGAAGGCGGAGTGAGTGGAGTACGCCATCGCGTGTGGCTGAGGCGATGCCAGGAATAGTTCACCAGCCTGGGTACATGTACGTCTACAGACTTGATCAAGCGTTCAGACAGGTTTTGTTGTCGTTCCCATCCCTCAAGGTTACCGTACCCATCGTATTATCACATCTTGGGTACCACGGTCCGTAAGGCTGGCGCATCTCCGGGCCCACATGCCCACTTCAATTTGGTCCCTGCATATCACAGAAGCACGTTCAGATCTCTTGCGAAAAGCGACAAAAACTAAAACTCCTAAGTTCACTTCACTATGCTGAATCTGGGTATCATTTTTCTACATCCTGTATCAACGTCGTGATATATACAAAGTGCGACAAGCGTTTCACACCAACGAGGAGCAAGTTGTTGTCCACTGCGAAGTGTTAGTAACGCTACGTTGTCCAGATTGCGCTGTCTTCTTCATGCATGACTTCACCATCAGAGGATGGCAGGTCTTCATGTTCCTCTTTCGTCCATATCTCATTTCCTGCTACCACAGGGAACGACGTCAAAACCCTGCTGATGTCCCCCCACCATACCTCGCCAAACCGCCGATACCAGTCTACTGTAACTTTCAAACCTTCGTCGAAACTGGTCTTGGGTTCCCACCCCAATGCGGTGAGCTTTGATCCATCTGTCGCATAGCGTTGATCATTAAATGGTCGATCCTCTGTGTACTCTACCCATTTGGAAACCTCAGCAGAAGAGCCGTGGGGGATCCCGAAGACATTTAGCAGCCTGCTACAAATTTCCGAATTCGAAATCTCGTCCTTTGACGCGATATTGTAGATCTGACCAACCTGGCCCTTGTGCAATATAGTGTCTAGTGCATCCACTATGTCACCCGCGTAGAGGTAGCGTCGTGTGGGTGATCCATCACCGTGCAGAAGGAGCTTCTGTTTCCGTTGTAGTAGCATGATAAACTTTGGGATGATCTCTGTATCAGTCAGCTTCGTGGGTTTTCTCTAGCTTCACAGAAGTGCCTACTCTCAGGGAACTGATGCGGCCCATACACATTGTTCGCCCGGACAGTGATCAGTGGCAGCTTGAAGCTGCTCCTGTACGCGCTGACCATCATCTCCGCTGCAGCCTTGCTCGCCGAGTAAGGATTCGTGGGCGCCAGTATGCTCGTCTCGCCCAGATCTGCAGCTCCAATTGGAACGTCGCCATACACCTCGTCCGTGGAGATGTGTATAAACCTGGTGACACCATGTTCCCTCGCTCGCTCGAGCAAGACGTGTGTGCCGTAAACATTCGTGTTTGTGAACTCGTACGAATTGCCAAAGCTGAGGTCGACGTGCGATTGTGCTGCGAAGTGGAAGATGGTTTCGATCTTGTGTTTGCGCAGTACACGCTTGACATCTGCGGGCGATGTGATGTCACCTTGTTCGAATGCGAAATTTGGTCGGTCGTCGAGAATTCGCGTGTTGTTGAGCGTGGCGCAGTAGTCTAGCTTGTCAAAGGAGACGACATTGTAGTGTGGGTATGTAAGGACCACATGCCGCACGAACCAGCAAGCTCTGCTCCTTGGTCAGTCGTGGTCTAGTTCAAGCAAAAGTCAAGAGACGCACAGCTCACAACTTCCCGTGGTCTCGTCGCGACGTACATGAAGCCGGCTCCACCTGTAACCAAAATGTTCTTCGCGTCAGGGAGAGGTTCGAAGTTAGTACTACCGATGAGTATCGGCGCCTGCTTCCAAAGCTCCTGCTTGACATGCGATCTCGGATTAAGAACTGTCGACCCTCGTCGGCCTGGTATTGTTAGCGTCTGGGTTGGACTGTGCCTTGCATCGCATGCTGCAGGTGGGGACTCACGCTTTACGCCATTGGTGCCATTGACAACATAGTGGGCAGTGTCGGGATTTTGGACATAACTCATGGTCGTGATGACTTTTGCTCTTGTCAAACGAAAGCTGTCAAAGGCTTTCTTGACATGCTCATATAAGGTCCAAACGATGTATACCACCGTGTCACGTCTGGCGCGTCACTGGCCGCCCGTGTTTACGAAGCTGAATTAGTGCTAACTTGTAACGGAGATGTACCCGCCTGGTTACCTTACGTCATCTCCGAAAGCATGAAACCTCACCATCATTGCACTACGACAAACCCCAACTAGATTTCGAACCTCTCGAAGCTGACAAAGTGATGCTCTAATACCGTTTCTTAGCCTTTGTCAAACGACACTATTCGGGCTCCAGACCACATCGTACTGAACGCCATGCCTTAGGTCTGTCGAATGCACAGCCCAAGCCTAGACGCGTCATCGACAATATCCTTCTTCAGCACAATTGAGGACCGAATGTTACTACAGCGGCGGTATTACACGTATCCACTATTTCACTTCCAAATTTCAATAAGTTTTCGTTCGTTGTCGTCTCTTTCCGTACAAATACCGGATTGATCATTTTCCCAAGATCGCACTCTGCATGCCGCCTCTTTCGCGTATCCATGACCTTTTTCCTCTTGGTAAAATTCAAGGTTTTTGAGTTTCAAGTACAAAGCGACATGGTTCACAGCGTATCACACATGTACAAGACCTAGGTATGCACCTCGAGGATCCGATCTGCGGTCAGATGGCCAGATTGGGTTGCCCCACCATAGTGTAATGTGGGGATGACAATATACTGCTCTTCGAGGACGATTCCAGCATTCTGAATAGAACAAAAAGCCAAGTATGGACCTATGACCTTGTATTCCATCACTATCACTGGAAGAAATCAACACTAAGCACATCACCTTGTACTACGACGATGGGGTTCAGTAGAGCAGCAGAGTGGTCATATTTAGGGACTATGGGCTTATGGGCTGTTAGTCTGTTCACCCTTGGGTGGATTGCTCTCATATTGGACTACAGTCGCATGCTGTATTTGAGATGGCGAATGGTAACCGCCCGCTTCTGCCTATCCTTATGTCTCTAGAGAATTCAACTCATACACTGGCAGCCGCCTGGACCACTACCATGGCCAATCATTGGCAATACATTCAGCTTACCGGAGGAAAAGCCTTGGTTTCTTATCGAGCAGCTATCCAAGGACTACAACTCTCCGCTTATCACGTTCTGGATTGGGCGGTCAGTCTGCACGGAAAGTTTTTGTTGTGGAGAGTGAGTAACACATTGCAGGAGGCCCACGATTTGGATCAACGACGCGTGGGCTGCCGACGAAGTCCTCGTAAAGCGAGCCAATATCTACAACTCTCGGCCGCGAATGCTGATGTTCGCCGAGTTGATGGGTGGTCAAAATAATCTACTGCATAAATACACATACACGAGAGAGCAGCGCGAGCGGTTCCGTGACCTCCGGAAGCTTACACACCAGGGCGTTGGGATTCAGCGGGTGAGTTGAAGTTGCGGTATGGCACGCTTCCCACTGACATAATACTTAGGTACAAAATTATCGCAGCCTCCAAGATGATGAGAACAAGGTAGTGGTGAAGGATTTGCTCACCACACCGGACAAATTCGTGTCACACTTCGAGAGATACGCTACAAGCGTTGTGTCAATTATCGGCTTCGGACGTCGGATCGCGGACTGCCAAGATCCGTTAATTACTGAAGTGATTGCTCAGATGCAAAACTCTGCTCAGATGGCAGTCGTCGCCAAAGACTTCCCACGCTTGATGGAGACTTTCCCATGTAAGTATCGGAGGCTCGAATGAAATCTAGCGTTAACGGCAAAAGGGCTTGCAAAATTCCCCGACTGTATTGCTCCTTGGAAGCGTGGTACACGGCGTTCCGCCAAACCCAAGTTCGGCCGCCATGACTTCTTCTTTGCTTTAGCAGAAGAGGCAAACCAGAGTTCAGGCGAGAACTACGCGAAGTATTTGTTTCGTGAAGCACCTCAGTACAATCTTCATCCACTCGAAATCTCCAATCTCGCCGCCAACCTGCTCGGTGCCGGAGCAGACACATCGAGTAGCACACTTGTTACGGCTGTACTAGCTATGCGCGCATTTCCTGAGACCCTCGATCATGCGTGGGATGAACTCGATCGTGTCGTGGGTCGAGCACGAAGTCCAACCTTAGATGACGACCTCCCATACCTCCGCGCTTTCACCAAGGAAGTCTTCCGCTGGCGGTCTGTTGCAATCATCGGAGGTACTGCCCACGCCCCTGTCCAAGATGACTATTGGAACGGCTATTATATTCCGAAGGGAACCTGGATGCAAGGTAATGTCTGGGCGATACATCACAATGAGCGCGATTTCCCAGATCCTGACCGCTTCAATCCACGAAGATTCTTGGACACGGACGATAAGAGACCATTCCCTGGGGAGAAAGGATATATGACTTTTGGATGGGGAAGAAGAAGTTGTGCAGGCCAAGCATTAGCGGAGCAGGGAACCAGAGTTGCTAACAATCAATCCAAACTGATGAGACTGACTGACTGACTGATTGCTTGGCAGTCAGTTCAGTGTCAGTTTAGAGCTCTCGTCTTATCAGTCAGTTCAGTTTAGAGCTCTTAAAC